GCAAAAAGGGGGCGCCTGGGTGGCTCAGTCGGTGAGGCATCCGACTTCAGCTCAGGTCATGATCTCACGGTCCGTGGGTTCGAGCCCCGCGTCGGGCTCTGTGCTGACGGCTCGGAGCCTGGAGCCTGCTTCAGATTCTGGGTCTCCCTCTCTCTCTGCCCCTCCCCTGCTTGCACTGTGTGTGTGTGTGTGTGTGTGTGTGTGTGTCTCAAAAATAAAGAAATGTTAAAAAAATTAAAAGTAAAAGTAAATAAATAAAATAGCAAAAAGTGAAATGCCTAAGAACACAGCAATCCGTATTCTGTGACAGAAACCGAAATTTCACAGAAATAGTAACTACAAGGTATACACTCTACAGATTGTTGACAGGTGGAAGCTGAAATACACGTTCACATCCATATGTGAGAGAGAGATGAACCAGGCGAAGGCTGGACATAAAGGAATATTATAGACCAACTACGGGTGTTCGCGTAACCCGGCACGAGTCACGTGCGAGTCCCAGGGAGCCCCAGAGAGACAGGCAGCCTCCTTTCCTTGACGACTTGCAAGGAGAGTAGCATTTCCACTGGTAAAGCATTTCCATGTATGTGATTTCATTTAAGCCTCCAAACAACCCCCAGAGAGAGGCAACAGAGATCGTCATCGTCATTCAGAGATGTGCTGAGGATCGCACCCTTCAGAACGGGGACCGCAATCCCCCTCCCCACTGCCTCCACGCTGCGGGAGATCCAGACTTTCCCGGGAAAACACAGATTTAAGAACCACAAAACTGAAAGCTGGCCGTGATCCCCACCCGTACCTTCGGGGAGAACTAAAAATAAAGAGGAGGGAGGGCCAAGGAGAGAGCAGGTCTGCCGGCGCTCTCCCCAGTCAGGAGGCCTGCCAGCCGCCCTGAGCTCACCTTGCAGATGGCCCTGCAGAAAGGGGGGCCCAGGGCTGGAGGGCAGGACAGCTGGTGCACACCTGGGAGGACCCAGGCTGCCTCGGTCCCTGCGTGAGGGGCACTGAATGGCCACTCCAACCCTCAGAGGTCAGCGTGCCCTGTGCTCCTTCCCCGGTGTGGGAACGGGTGGTTGGAACCCTCCCTGCCAGGGGCAGTTACAGCACCCTCGAGAAGTGTCCCTCTTTCTGCCCGCCTGGGTGGCTCCATCAGTTCAGCGTCTGACTCTTGATTTCGGCTCAGGTCATGATCTCACGGTTCATGGGATCGAGCCCCACGTCGGGCTCTGAGCTGACAGAGCAGAGCCTGCTTGGGATTCTCCCTCTCTCTCTGCCCCTCCCCTGCTTGCTTTCTCTCTCAAAGTAAATAATCTTAAAATAAATAAATAAATACATACATACATCTATACATCCATCCATACGTACATAAATGAAAAGAAAAGAAAAGAAAAGAAAAGAAAAGAAAAGAAAAGAAAAGAAAAGAAAAGAAAAGCCTTCCACCAAGAGGGGAAAGCAGGGCAGCAGAGGGGCGCGGAGATGCCCTGAGCACATCCTGGCAATAAGGCCAACTGCCGAGGGCCCGCACGGACTGCGCCACAGGCACGGGGGTGAGAAGCTTGGGTTCTGAGGTGCCACAGAACTTGGATCCCATCCCGGCGCCCCCAGAATAAAGGGCAGCCCAGCCTGGACAGCTGTCCCTCGGGCCATCAATGACGCAGCCCTCCCTTCAGCAGAGCCTCCCGGCGGCCACCATGAGGGCCAGCAGGGGTCATCTCCACACAGCCAAGGTCACTCCTTGTATAGCCCATGGTGCTGCTTCAGGAGATCAGGCCGCCCAGGCTTTCTGTGGCTCTGAGGGGGCGGGGCACCTTGGGTGCGACTGGGGAGGGGGCCCTGGGGCCAGGGAAGGAAGTGCTTTTCCTCTCCTCCTCCCCTTCTCACTCTCTCCCTCCTGCCTGCGTGGCAGCCTTCACACTGCAGCAGACTCCTCTGGGCCAGAGGCTGCGGCAGGGAAGGAGAGAGCCACTCAAGGGCCAAGGAGAGAGGGAGCTGGGGAAGCCAGCCTCAACCACTCGGATGACTGGACTGGGGCCCAGCGGCGGGGGAGGGGCGGGGACGGGACATCCCAACGACCTTGCCACTCAGAAGTCCCTTTCCAGGGCCCAGGCCCGGCGTGCAGCCCCCTCCCTTTGCGGCACTCGAATGGCAGTGTAGCCTGCCATCCCTGAGGGTCCCGGAGCTGGGCCACCCCGGAGGCTCCCCACGCCGCACAGCTGAAGCGGCACCTGCGCCCCGCGAGGGGAGACCGCCCCTGCACTTTGGCCTTCTGAAGCCTGACGCCGACTGCTGCGCTCTGAATCCCACCTTGGAAGCTTCCCAGGCCGCCCTCAGTCCCACCGTAGCAGCTGGCCGGCCACCCACGAGGACCCACGGCAAGGCACGGTGACCTCCAGCAGGAGGCCAGCCCCTCCCCCTGCCCGCTTCCCATCCCGACTGCGGAAGGCACGGCCAAGGCCCAGATGTGCTGGCCACGGGACTCACTGGCCACGGGGGCACAGCCTCGGGGCCCACGTCTCCTGTCCTCTCTCTCCAGCCTGAACTAGTGTGACGGGCGACTGGTGGGCAGACAAGCCGACCAGGGAGATCCAACCCCCAGGATGGCATCTCTGACGAGGACGGGGCAGGCCACACCCTTATGGGTTAGAGCCCCTGGGGGGGCGGGTATAGAATCCCCCCTTTCCCCCCCTCCCCCCGCCCCAGTTGCCTGCCCTGCCCTGTGTCTCTGCGCCTCTGGGCTGAAGGCACAGGACCCAGCTGAGGGCAAAAGCCTTGTGCTCCGGGGTGTGACAGCAGCACCGCCTTCCCCTCCGAACCCAGGTCCTGAGGCTGCTGGGCCTGGGCCTTGGTCCCATGCGGCAGCCTTGACGGCAGGGCCACCGTGCCCACCCTCCTGGGCCGCGGCTGTCTGGTACTGTCCGAACCTAGATTCTCCCTGCCTCCGGCCGTGCTTTGGCAAACAGTCCTGCCCGGGCCTCTGTCTGCCTTTGTGCCTTGCCTTCCCTTTTCCTTTCTCCAAAACCCAAAAGTATCTTTGCTGGGTAAGCAGGCCTCTGGTTTGCTCAGCCCCTGGCTCCCTAGGGATCCCGCAAAGAGACCTGCAAGTGACATCAGGTATCGAAAGGGAAATGCGGTGGAAGGTTGGAAGGGATACGGGGCGATGGTGCCAGCTGGTAACCCCAGCCATCACTGCTCCTCCCCAGCGCAGGGTGGGCACAGGAAGGGGCCGCCAGAAGCAGGGGAGGCGTCCCGGTGTCCCAGCCCTGCCGGTGGCTGAGCCAAGTCTGGGCAGAGGCTGGTGCTGGGCTGCAGAAGGTGACGGCGGCACCCTGTCACCATCCCACGCCCTCAGCACCAGATCTGAAGTTCAGCTCCCTGCCGGTGAAGCAAGAGCCGGGCCCAGCCCGCACCCCCACGAGCGCAGCGGACACACAGCGGCACAAGGAGGTAACCCACAGCCTGAGCCCCTGCTAAGGACAGAACGGGAAATAACGGAAACGCTGGGGCGGGTTCCCGAGGCCCACGAAGGCTCCATGCGGCGGGGAGAGGGTCAGTGTCCTGACAGGGGCTCCGGAATGGAGAAACCCAGCTCCGCTCGAGGACGGCAATGCCCTCAGAGGCTGGGTTCACGGGGCCCTGCCCGACTGCCCCAGCCCGGCACCCCCGCTCCTGCCTGCCTCCCACGGCACTGTCGGCCTGCATCAGTCATTTCGGAGTCTGTCCTAATAGACCCTGTCCCCCCAGCGAGAGGTGTCGGGGGGGCAGAGGCTGTGCCTCATTGCCCTCCGTATGGCCATGGCCCTCACACGGAGCCTCCAGCACCAGATACGTGTTTGAAGAGGAAAGGAGGGAAGCTGGAGAGAGTAACCAAGGGAAGGAGAAAGGAAAAGAGAAACAGGCAAACGGGAGACAGACCTCCTGGACCCCCAGCCAGGCCCGAGGGGTCTGCCCTCTGCTCTGCCCAGGGGCACACCGTGGGCCGAGGACAGTGGCCTCGGCCCCGCAGACAGCAGCCAGCGGGATGAGCTAGACGCACTGCTACGGAGCCTGGGTGCCAAAGCCAGACCTCTCACCCCAAGGACCCGGCCCCACCGCTTCCTGCCGCGTGACCTTGGGCACATCACCAAACCGCATCCGTACGTGGAAGCTAATACTAGGACCCACCTCAGATGGCCACTGGGGGGACGGACACAAGAAGAATTAGCTTTTATGGTCTGGGCTGAGAACCAATGCTCTGACCATAATACAGTCAAGGCTCAAAAAAGTGGAGGGAGTCACAGAACGCCAGCACTCCGCAGAGCCTCAGCAGCGGTCTTCTATATGGCCTGCCCATCTCGCAGCCGAGGGGAGTGATGTGCTGAGGTCACCCAGCAGAGACAGGCCGGAGGCTCCCTGGTCAACGGTGCTCATTCATTATTCGTTCAGCGCTTGTGACGTGCACGCCAGGAGCCTGAAAGGAGGCACCTGACCCCCTCGGTCCGGTGGGAGAGGAACACTGGACCCGGACAGGACACAGAACAGACTGGAGGGCGGACCGAGGAGGCACGTGGTGTTCCGAGGGCGTGAGGGGAATGGAGCTCGTCAAGAAGGCCCCCTGAGAAAGTGATGGCCGAGCCGGGAAGGAACAGGAGGGACGGGAGGCGACGAGGAGGCGAGGAGAAGCATCTGGGCAGAGGGCGCCACCGGTACCAGCCCTGGGGCAGCTCTGATGGGCCCCACCGCACCCACGTAAGGTCTTGGCCACGTAAGGCCAAGTTTACTCACCCAGCCTGCGTTCCCTAAGGGCAGCGAGGCCCAGGCGGGCTCTGCCCTGGGGGTTAGCACAGGCCAGAGCTGGGCCACAGCAGGCCCCGCAGGAACACCACATATACGGGAGGAAACTTCCCTCCGAGAAGCACCAGCTGGGGCGCAGAGGCTGGGCAGATCCCCCGGCCCTCCCATCTCACCGGGCACAGGGCCGGCGGAAGCCGGGGAGCCGCGGAGGGCGGGGGCCATCCACTCACCCTCGGCATCCACAGTCTCCTTCATGATGATCTCCACCCGCTCCACGTGGTGCCGGCTCCAGAGGCCGTCCAAGGCCTTGCGGTTCTGGTCTCGGAAAGGCAGGATCTGAGCCACGGCCTGCCGGGGAAGGAGGCCAGTTGGGCGCTGGTTCTCAGGGTGAAGAAGGAATCCTGACTCCCAGAAAGGGCCCACGCTTCTCTACCCTCTGCTCGGAGGAGACGCTCCCAGGATGCAACAGTCCCTGGGCTTTGGGGCCTCACAGCTCCACGCACACTCCAAAAACTTGTAAGTGACCTCCGCAGGGTTACCTGCTTTTTATTTTGCGAGGAAAAAAGTACTGCAGATTATTTATCTTCTAATAAAAGAAAGAGATCTTCTTACCACTAAAAATGGAGCAAGAAAAGCTTTAGATTGAATGCATTCAGTATTCTTTTCTCATTTTCCCAGGAACAGGTGAAAACCTCACCAGGTCAGACACTGGTCTGAGGACCACTCTTTGGGGATGCTGCCACTCCAAACAGGGCTGGACAGAAAGCAATGCCTCTGTCCTGGAAAACTATGAGGTGCCCACCCACGTGGCCCTGGGCTCACCAGCCTGGTCAGCACCAGAGGGTGCCGTGCTGTGTGCTCTCTGCTGGGGTTTCTAGGCAGAGATGTTCCAGAGGCGCTCCAAGGGCCTGCCCAGAGTGAAGTGGCCAGCCAGCCTGCATCACCCAGGAGGCCACCCCATGCTCTGCCACAGAACCTGGCTGAGGAACATGGACTTAGGGTCCCTACGCAGTGTGAGACCTTGTTACCAGCCTTCAGCTCAAAACAGAACTCAGGAAGACACGGATACTGAAAAAAGGCAGTTGGATGCGGAATAAGTTAATTCTAATCTCCCCACCGGGACCCCCTGGAAGCCAGGCCGACACCAGAGTCCTGGGGCCACCCGTGTAGATGATGCAGGGCAGCGATGAGAACGCGGCTGGACAGGCGGACCAGGGCCACGCAGTCCTGCCCCTTGCCGCCCTGCTTCTCCTCCAGCCTGTCGCCGCCTGCCCACCCTCGGGACGACCACGGCGCCTCGGATTTCATGACGGCTCAGGCCTAATCCCACATTATCAGTGTGGCTCTGCCGGTGGGGTCTCCCCGCGCCCGGCTCACTCCAACTCCTGGCTGCAGCTCACCTGCTTGCCCAGGTAATGGTCCACCCGGTACATCTCCTCCTCTCGGAAAAAGCCCCCGAGTTCCGTGGCCAGCTGCTGGGCTGAGAGGTGGTCATGGCCGAAAGGCTTCTCGAGGACAACCCGCAGCCAGGCGCCTGGGCCCGGGCGGCAGCTGCTGTTAATGTTGCGGGCAATGTCCGCATAGGCAAAGGGTGGCACCGAGAAATAGAAGATCCTGCCGGCCTCCCGGAGGCCCCCGTGTTGGACCTGTGCCTCAATGTCCTTGCTCAGGGCCATATAGTCCTCACTCGTCGCCAGGTGGCGGTATGCACTCAGCCGCTGGAACTGGCCCTTGAGTTCGGCGCAGCGGTCGGGTGCCATGTCCTCCGGGCAGGAGAGGGACTCCAGGACCTTGGCTATGAACGCTTGGCCCTGCTTGGTGGACGTCAGGGCAGCCCCATGGAAGCTGAAACTGTAGTCCTTCCCCGCCTCATCCAGGTACAGCTGGAACAGCCCCTGCCATAAGTATTTCCTGGCCAGGTCCCCGGTTGCTCCCAGCAGGATGACGGAGACGTGTCCCCGGAGCTCCTGGGCCTGCAGGCACCCCAGGAGGGCCATGCACATCGCCACTGTGAGCATCTTCCAACAGCCAGGGTGCCTGGGCATAGGTGAGACAGACAAGGAACAAGGAAAGATCAGACATGGTTCAGGTGGCTGGGACATGGAGGTAAACACACTTCCAGGCTCTCAAACATTTCCTGCCTGGCAGGAAACAACCACGTTTCTCAGAAAAATGTTATAATCCCACGGCTTCCCCGCTGCTCCCTCCTCAGCAACTTGGCTTCTGTGCCAGGAAGCTGGTGCGTAGGGAGCCTGCCCCGTAAACAGGGACTGTACGCGGGGAGGGGGTAGGCCAGTTGCTAGAGACGGACCGCGGTGCCGCAGGAAGCTCCGGGGAGGCACCCAGGGCTGCCGCAGGATTCGGAGCTGCCCACTGGAAGATCGACGCCAACCTCATCCATGAGCACAGGCCACCAGGCCCACGAGCTCGGGAATGGTAGATGGCCCTCGGGTGACGGCCGGAACTACAAGAAGACAGGATCACCCCCGTCACTCCTCGCTTGGCTTCCCTCGTGTCTGCTGGGCTCCGGGCCCAGAACGATTACTAATATCTCCTACGGCACAGTGAATAACAACACGGACTCTGGAACCAAACGAGGTGGAATCCTAGCTCAGCTCCTCCCTGTTTGACCTTGGACAATTACTTAATCTCTCATAACCTCGGGTTCCTCATCTGAAATGGGGGTGACAGCGACCTATACCACAGGGTCATTAGAAGGAGAAAATGAGTTAATATTTATCAGATGCTTAGGACACTGCCCACCACCCCCGAGCGCTACGTAAGTGGTAGTCGTCACTAGGGTATGTTAATGACAGCAGCGGCCCTGAACGGAGCGCTTCGTGCGTAAGATCCCACTGAGTGCAGGCAAAAGAGACAATGGAGTGGGTGCCATGATAGTTTCCCTCTTGCAGAGAGAAAAGCTGAGGCTCAGACGGTGAAGGAAGGTGAGGAAGGAGGGAGCCCAACAGGCACCAGGCTCTCTGGCCCCCGCGCTGACACACAGCAAGTGCGTGCTGCATCCTCCCTCGCGTCTTGGCTGCTTTTCAGGCTAATTTAAAGCCGCTGACACGTACGAAAGGCAAGAGGCCTCGGACCCGCCACGAATGCGCCGGAGGATCTGCTTTCACTTGCCTTCTGTTCTGACCAAGGTTGTAGGGCTTACTGTGTGCAATTCTTACTCCGCGGCTCTCCCGTTCTCCGATTTCCAACTGAGGCTAGTGCTTTGGGGGAAAGGGAGAAGTGAGGGGGGAAAGTAGGCGTGGCCAGCTACTGGGCTCTGAGAACTCGAAGGGGCAACGGGGCCCAGCCCGGGGCGCTGGAGCACTGAACAGGGAACCAAGATGACTGACAGCAGGTGTTCCCGGATGAAGGGTGAACAGCCTCCACCACGAGGTTCGAGTCTGGCTGTACGGTAGGGACACGGAGGTGTGAGGCGATACCCGGCCCCCTTACCTTCCTGCATCCCTGTACCATCCCCCATCTTGAGAGGGTCCTGGCCACCCTCTGACAGCCCACTCCCCAGCCCCCCCTTTTCCCTTTGCCTCCTCCTCATCTCTTTTGATGTTGCAGTTAGCGGCCAAACCAAGATGAGGCTCCAACGACAGGATGTGCGTCAGAATCTACAGGACACCAAACGTTTCCACTATTCAGCTTGATGTGGAGGGTAAAGAGACCAGCTTCGAGGCCTCCAGCCTTCCCCTTGCACTCTCCCTTAACCTGTGCACTCACTCCCGAACCAGATGGGCCACAGGACCGGTCTTTCCTCTCCCGCTTCCCAATCCCTGTCCTTGGCCCTTCACGCATTTACGCATTTCCTTCTCGGCTGGCTGGCAATCGCCCATCTGGAGGGAAGACAGAGCTGCAAGGTCAGTGCGGGAGAGAGGCGGTGAGAAATATGAAGCCCGGAGAACAGCCTGGAGAAGGAGGAGCCTCCAGCTGGCGAGCTGCATTTCAGAGCTCCTGATCCCACACGCGGAGCCAGGGCTCCAGACTGACAAGTGCCGGGGACAAGAGGAGGAGTCCGGAACCTCAGAGAGCCTGGATGGGCAGGTGAGGGAGCCCCAAGGACCAGTCCCTCTCCCCCAAGCCCAGAAGACTGCAGAACTGTCGTGTCCCCAAGCCCGAGCCTCCAGTCACTGTGCTGAACGGCTTCCTCAGTCAAGTGGAAGAATGTGGCGTTTGGGTCAGAGGACCAGGGCTCAAGACCACCTCCTGGCTGTGTGATCTAATGAACTCTCCTAGTCAGTTTGGGTCCACGTTTCCTAACTATAAAACAGGGCTAACACCACTGAACTAAATGAGGGGCTTGTGACGATTAGCCGAGATGATGCAGGCGACAAAGCCCTACGCGGACATTAACTAACCTAGCTCAGTGCCAGGCGCTTCCTGGCTCCTGGGGGGGCATAATGCCACCGCTGCCCGACAGAACTGCGCAGCTCAGCGGCTACAGAGCTCAGCCCCGCAGGCAGCCCCGAGGAACCAACTCGGGCATTGACGGCACATTCCCCAGACTGGTCCTTACGCCCGGCCCCGAGGGGAGGGAGACAGTGACCAGTACGGTCATCCTCCTTGCTGCCCCGACAGGGAAATAAACAGGATCCCCGAAGGCCAACAAAGTCAAGAACAGGGCCCCAGCTCCGGAGCAGGGGTGAGGCAACAGGGAAACCAGACGGCTCCAACACACCCACCGACGGTCTAAACCGCCCTCGCGCGGCACGGCTCGGCTTTTGCGGGGTTTTCTGAAGCACTTCCCCCTGCCTCTCTGCCTGCTCCAAGAGGAATGGGCCTACAGGCACCTCCTAAAATCACACACCTGAAGTGAGCCAAAAAGCCTGGACGTGACAGTCCAACCGCTAATACTGCCATGAACCGTTTGTATCTTTCACTCAAAGTTAGTTTCATTTGCAGAGCTCCGGCGCAGGAAGGGCAGCCTGCGGGACTGCGCGTTGGGCCGAGTGGTGGTTCTTCTCCAGCTCCTGCCGTGAATCACCACGCCACCTCGATGACCTCTCGCCGAGGCTTCTGCCCTGGCCAGGCCCCCCCTGCCCCACCTACGAGACGAAGAGACTTAGCGGAAGGATCGCTACTTGACTGCTGCCCCCCAATCCCGGGTTTTCCAGGGAAAGGAGAGAACCCCTCTCTCATCAGGGAGAGGCCCCAGCTCCGCCTTCCTGTAGGGCAGCCAGGTGCCCACCTCGGGGGAGGGGAGAGGGGCGCTGAAACGGGAAGCAAAGAGCTGATGACCACGTGCCCTTCCAAAGCTAAGACGAGACTCTTGAAGCTTTAACCGAAGTGTGTGAAGGATGCAGTGTCATTTACGACACTCAGATACTTGCCAGACACACACTACCCCACCTCGTGCGGTGCCGCGGGGCCTCGTCTAGGGAGGCGCAGAGGACCTTCTCCAGACAGGCTCGTCTGGGTGTCAGGACTACTGGGCCCGTGTCCGCAGTCCTGCCCCCCGAGTCCGGTCTGAGGGGTTCCCGCCCGGCATCCTGGGTGGTTCACCTTTGGAAGAACAGCTCTGCCAACGCTCCCAAAGCTGTGAACACCGACTTGGCGGGCCTGGGGGTCTGGATCAGAATCTGCTTCCGGTCTTTGTTTCTGCCCAAGCGAAAGAGGCGGGTGTGGGGCGCAGCCCCGCAGCTATGCCTGACGCGCTCCGGTGGCAGGGTGGCTGCTGGTAAACCACAGGGGGAGTGGCCCTGGTCTGCTATTCCCAGCAGACACGGGGCAGGGGCAAGGAGCGGAGAGGTAAAGGTCAGTGGCTGCGGCGGCCTTGTCCCCTCTCCCAATGCCACATCGACAGCTTTGGCCTCCACCTTCTGTTTGCCAAGTGGGAAGGAGGGGCCTGTCTTCTTCAAATCATAGCCCAGGAGTTTGGAATTTTTGAAAGAATGTGTGGGAGTAAAACAAGAGTTCAACCTAAAGATCATTTTTAACCAGAGTGCGAGGGGAGGGGCCCAGCGCCCTCTCCAGTCACTAACCCCAGTGTTTTCCCCGAACTCTCCCGGGCCCCTTGGGAAGGGTCAGGGACAAGAGTTGCAAGATCGGGCTCTGGGGCCAGTTTCCTCCCCAGATCTCAGAAAATCCTTATTCCTATCACCTTCTCAGGGGTCTTGGGTCCCTATGACCCAAAGGTGTGCTAGAGCCGCCCTGTACCTGCACGCAAGATTCGCCTGCTGAATTTTTAGGAATTTTTCAAGCCAGTTGTTAAACACAGCCATTAAATTAAAGACCAAATCAGGGCGCCTGGGTGGCTCAGTCGGTTAAGCGTCCAACGTCGGCTCAGGCCAGATCTCATGGTTCATGAGTTCAAGCCCCGCGCTGGGCTCTCTGCTGTCAGCACAGAGCCCGCTTGGGATCCTCTGCTCCCCCTCTCTCTTCGCCCCTCCCCCACTTGCATTTTTGCTCTCTCTCAAAAAAAATTTAAAACCAAATCGTACCAATGTATAACCCAAAAAGCTATATTCAAAGGTAATAAATACTTTCAGTTCACCATTTCCTATTTTACTGTATTTTACTACTAACCTGGGTTCTTGACATTGTTTCCATCTACTACGTCTGTAAGGTGAAGATATTCTACGATGGGGTGCTTGAAACGGCCCGGGAAGGGATATTTCACCACAGATACCGGCAAATGCTGTAAATCGGGCCCCCCCTCACCAAAATGAATCCAGAGTACAACCACTTCCCGCCTGCCACCACTCCACTCTGGTCCCAGCCACCATCACCCCTGTCTGGGTTCCTATAGGAACCACCTAACTGGCCTCCGGTTTCTTCTGCCTTTTCCTGAACATGGCACTCGGTGCCCTTTTTATGGCCTCCCACCCATGACCTCTTTGATCTCTTCTGCCACTATGCCCCTCTCTAGGCTCCAGCCACCCATCGTCCTGCCTCAGGGCCTTTGTACTTACCGTTGGCTCTGCCTGACCTACTTTCCCCTGCAGATGTCCACATGCTTCACTCCCTCGCTAACTTGAATTCTGTGCTGAAATGTCACCTCGGTGAGCCTTTCTCAGGCGACTCTGGCAAACTGCAAACCTCCCACCTCCACCTCAGCCCCTGCTCTATCTAGTTCTCTCCGCAGTACGTATCATTCTCTAATACGCCGTCTGTGAAAAGCGTATTTGTTTTATTGCCTGCCACCCCTCCCCGTCAGAATGCAAGTGCCAACGGGGGCAGGGGGCTTTGTGCTTTGTTCGCTGATTACCTTCAGTATCCAAAACAGGGCCTGGCACACAGAAGGTGCACTACAAATATGTGCTGAATGGACAAATAAATCCCATTCTGTAGGAGACCACCGTCGCCTGTGTGTGAGCTATCTGCATCAGAATGATGGCACGAAGGAACAAACCTCTACTGGTGACTTCAAGCGCTACGGCCCAGTACACAGGCCCAGCAACAACACCAGTAATGATAAAAGAAACATTTACAGAGCATCTAACTATATGCCGAATCCTAGAGCTTCACATGCATCGAAGCTTTTAAATTCTTGCCACAACCCAGGAGCTAGGTACCATTACTATTCCCATTTGTAGGATGAGCACAGGGGAAGCCGAGGTGCATGGGGAGGGCGGCGGAAAGAACTTACTGAAAGGCAGGCAGCTCAGAGGTGATCGGCTATAAACACGGGCAGTCTGGCTTCAGCACTTAGGTCCCACGTGACTACGACCCCAAGCAGTGGGATTTAAAACACTGCATTGGTGTGGAAACGGATTCTGCCCCTCTAGGAGACGCGAACAACGGTGGTGCCAACGGTCTGTTCCTCTCGTGTCTCAACCACGGGGAAGGCAAACAAGTCAATAAGAAGCACAAGATGAGGCAATCCCCACAAAGCACTTGGCACGAGTTAGCCGACGGTAAGCACCCCAGAAATGTTTGTTTCTATCATTATGAAACCAACAGCATCGTGAGTAAAGGTACTTTCCTTGCCAGTTTCTTGGAACTGCTGCAAAATGAATTAACCATCCCACAACAGAAAAAAGACATACCAAGAAACGGCTCATCAACAGTTTTCATGACCTTCCAGGCACACTGGGGGTGGGGGGGAGGGGGGCATCAAAGAAAGAGAATGCTAGAAAGAGAATGCTTCAAAGTCCCCAGCCCAGCCCTTAAGGGATTTATAATCTAGCCCACAGAATAGGGGCGTGAACCCCAGCTGGAAAATGGGGATCATCCACCTCATTTTAACACTGGGCCAAAAAAAAAAAAAAAGATCACGGATGTGAAAATATTTTAGAGGGCAATGGTGGTAAGAGCTCTCCCAAAGAGCCACCAGGCTCTCAAAAAGCAAAAACCAGACTTCCTGGGCAGCAAAAAGCAAAACCAGACTTCCTGCTCTGCCCGTGGGTTAGGGTCTCTCTGGCAGAATCCACCGTGAAATGTGGCATGATGCAACGACACCTCACCTTGTTCAAGTTCCATCAATAAAATCAGAAGTGGCTAGGCCACTGATGACCAAAGGGAAACCTCTTAGGTTTCCCGTTCAGATGGCCTAAAACTGTCGGACCCAAGAGTAACTTCGTAAACTCCAGTCTTTGTATAAACATAACTTGAATGTCTGCCTAGAGGGGTTACTTGTTGGGCAGTCGCGTACCTCAAAGAAAAGTTACTGTCTGAGAAATGAGCTCTCTTCATGCCAAGCAGGGAGCATTTTTACCTCGAGTGTTCCTAAAACTAACCAAAAGATGAGCCTCATAAACTCAAAACGTCTATCCGCCTTCGATCAGGGCAGAGAATGTGGAAACTAACTGAAAATCTGCCCATTCTACACCAATTCCCCCTAATTCGCTACCTTTCGACGAGCCATGCGCCCCGTTGGGAGGACAGGCGGTCGGGTGGGCAAAGAATTTAGGTTTATGACCTTTCCAGAAGTTCTCATTTCCAACCAAACATTCAGGCTGAAGTGACCTGATTCTCAAAGAGGCGGACAGGTTTACTTCTGGAAAACTCTTCGTTGGATGCGTGTGTCGCAAACGCTGATGGAAACCGGAGGGCGAATGCCAGAGATCAAGCTGATCTCGGGAAAGAAAGCACGGGGTTCCTCCTCTCACCGGGCTGACTTCCAGAAAAGCCTAGAGAAAGGGACGCCGTGGG